TGATCCCCGGCGGGTGACATTCTACTGGTTGGAGTGGTTGGAGGACAGAAATACAGAGTGCACGGCGGTAGGGGGGGCTCAACTACGCCGGTGAAGCCGCCAGGCGCAGACCGACTCAGCGAGTAGTTCTGTGCGTTGAACGGCGCCGTTCCCTCTGAATAGCGCCGGCCGATTCGCCGGGCTCATCATGCCGGCGCTTGTTTGAGGGTCCACTTCAAGGAGCGACAGCAGCTGTAGACTACAATGCAGCCATCATTGGGAGCCACATGGATGTGTGATTACTAGGGGGCGTGGTACGCGACAAGGGACGGGCGCGATGCCATTGCCTGCAAGCGAGTGCAGTCAAAGCGCTTGCTGGGGTGGTGACCGTGGGGACCATGAGGGGTGTGCGATAACTAAAGAAGTGTAACTCTCTGGCAAGATGCTGGCTTGGTGTTGTGCACCAAGTAGATAGAAGTGGATTCGTTGGGTCATATTCAGAAAATAAAAAAAAGGGCCCCGGGATGCGGTGAAGATCCAGAAGAGTGTGATCAAAAATAAACATCGTAAGTAACATCATACAATATCATTCCCCCGGTGCGTTCACTGGCATAACTACGGTGTGTTACATCATACCATATATAGGTAAGCCACATGAGAGCAGATGGCTCCATACTCCAAACTGCTGTGCATCATTGCATCGCGTGCAACCGCTAAGCGCGGGGATGGTCGTCAACAACACTCCGTTGGGCAGACGAGAAAAAACGAATTTATGTATGAAAAGGCATCTCCATTCGACTTCGAACTTCGAACACGATGACACGGCCTGCTGGCACTACATGAGAGATTGCGCCTTTTCTGTTTTTTTTCTATTTGTCTTCACTTCAAATCAGCGCTCACAATACCGTTGTATTGCATAGTCTACATACGCCATTCACACCCCATGGCGGACACTCAAGAAGCCGTATGCCCTAGACGCTGCAGAAAAATCACATGCTCTGTTCATGTTGTACGTTGTACGGAGAAAAAATGATTGTACGGAGCCCCCGTTGACGGGACGTTGTAGCCATTCCTCTCAACAGCTCTCGCTCCTACAAGTATGTACTGAAGAAAACAAAATCCTCCAACCCTGTAGTCTGAGGCATCTATCTATGATATGAGGAAATCACATCCGTTGCGAGCCTGTCCCGTTTAGGTTACTCCGTTGAGGTGTGTTGGACGTTAAGGCTCCGATCGTTTGTGTGTCCTCGACAAAAGTTGGGGGTAGTATCGTGGATTCATTCGTTGCGGCCGGTCAGGGTTTGCTTTTCAACAGGTCTGGAGATAGACTGCATGGCATGACTGCTTGCTGTGCAGCAGACCTGCTTTTCCATTTATGCCGTCGCTGGATCGCCGGATGAAATAATCTCCATGCGACCTGGCGTTGTGCAAGAGCAGTCTTTTTGTTGGTTCCTTCCATTCGGTTCTCTTGAAGCTGATGATACCGCTCTAACTTTCTCCCCCCACCCCCACCCCTCTCCCTCCCTGTCTCTGTCTCCCTGTCTCTCTCTCTTTGTCTCTCTCTCTCTGCCTCTCTCTCTGTCTCTCTTTTGCCAGACTATTTCTGTTTCATTTGTTTCTTCCCTGCCGCCTTCCTGCGGGGAGGGTGATCGGCACATGCTCCGAGCACACGATGTGTGCATCTACTTTAATACAAGTGGGCTTGCTGGCGCTTCAGGCGGCATGGGCCGTAGAAGGTGAACCCCCCCCCCCTGAACATGCCGAGCTTTTCCGACTGCTGGCGAGCAGCTCGCTGAGCAATTTTTTTCAACCCTCAGTCTTTCGCGCGCACGCCACACCCCCTGGGTGTATTTTCTCCGCACGTCGTGCCCTGAAAACCGTCAACCCATCGCATTGATCAGCCTCGATGCCGCGTAGAAAGCAACAGGCGGCGAGCCTTTCATCACCCCCCACACACACAACATGCGAGGTCAATGGTCTAACAACTACGGCATGCACGACTATGAGTACCCCCCCCACACACAACACCCACAACACCCAACGCACGCCTTTTTCGAGAACCACCTTAGACACAAAAGTTGACCTCACCACCCTCAGCCCCCAAAACGTGGTTTACCAGGTGGCTTCCCGAGCAACGCGCCGTCGTACGTGTCCGAGGGCGGAGGGGGGGCAAACACGACAACGACGACGCAAGCGCCGCAGGCGACGCCGCCCCCTCCACCGCGGCAACAGTATGGCACGCTAGAACCAGCGCCGGATGAGAAGGAGCAGAAGGATAGGACACACGAGGGGGGGGGGGCGGCCTGGGCGGCGGGAGGGGGGATGCCTAGGACGGGGTCACGGATGCTCTGGAGGTGGTTCGCCACGGGGAGCAGGACCGGAGAGAGAGTGCGAAAACGGGACGGGGGCCGGGGGGACGAGAGAGGTCTGGCGACGCCTCTCGTAACCAGGCTGCAGGAAAACGCCACCGGGGCGGCGTCAGACACGGGTCAGTGGAAAGGGGCAGGGGGGGAGTTCGGGTTGTCGGCGGACTGGCGAGAGGCACTCTCGGTGCCCGGCGGCGACGGCGAGGGGGGGGAGGGGTTGAGAGGAGGAGACGCCTGCTTGACCGAGAAGAATCAGGCGGAGGTGCCGGAGATCTTGGACAAGAGGGGGACCACCT